TCATCTACGATATATATTTTTATTATTGCTATAATGAAACATGTACACTCAAAATTTATATACCTGTACAATTAATTCCTTGATAGCCAGTACCAGTACAATCACAGGTGTAATTAGAAGGAGCTGAATCAAGTGTACAATTACCTCCATTCTGGCAAGGACTCAGTAAACATATATTTGTAATGGAGCAAGTACAGGTAGCAGTATTGAGTACATAATTAGCGTCACATAGTAGAAAACATGCTGCAAAAAATTGAAACTTACACACATGCACAAACAAACAAAAGAAGTATGAACATACAAGCACAAAATGTATTAACAAACACTCCAATGATGTAATTCATAAACCTACATGCGTGGCATACATACCTCCAGATGGTTTCAGATCCAAGTTTCCAGTATATGAATAACCAATGAACTGTTGCAAACCATACACCATTGCTAGTATCTTGTCATTACTGTTATTAGACCAAATACTGATAACACTAATGTCACCACCATCACTTAAGCTATAACTGTTAAATACATAGCACCCACCGACAGAACTATTGTAATGTTTCCATGAACTGGATGTGAGAGGTGGAAGAAGTGTGCCATTGAGTTGTATCTGTGATGAATCATCTGCAGCAAGTATAACAAGGTTAACAGAAGTAGAAGCACCCAATAGACTAATGATTGGAAAACTAGTTACATTAGAAGCATATTGATGTATTGGAGGAATGATTGTCATAGCAGGATCACCATGTGTAGTGAATGAAGAATCAGCAAACTGAGCCAGTGAGAACTGAGCTACAAGTATTGGACTAGTTGAATTAATGTAACAACTAGTTTGAGATATAGTTTGACTGAGTACACCACCTTCTTGAAGGGATAATGAATAACTGTTACCATTATCACAAGTTATACCAATGCCTGTATTATTTTGCGATCCAATTAGTTTCAATATATAACCAGATTCACGCTTATAAAATGACTGAACCAGGGACTCATTACCCCATGAGGCTACTGGTGGTATTTGTTCACCAACAAAGTCACAAGCAAATTGACCGACAGGAATGAAACCACAAGTGTGACCAGAATAGACAGATATTGGATTACTAGACTCAACTTTTGTTCCTGTTAAATCAGCCCTTGCTGTAACTGGTTTGAGTAATAGTGTCTCCAGGTATTGTAATTGTATTGTTATTGATTGTCCAGCATTAAGACTGATCTGATTACCTGATGAGGTGAGACTAGATGGTATAGTAACAGTCACTGTTGGTGTGATTGTTATGTTGGTATTATTATTACCAGAGACTATTAGAAGAGATGAGAATGAGGTTGATT